AATCGAGTTATTAGGCAAGTTTATGTCAACTGTATATGTAACTATAGTAAGTAGAGATTAAATTTACATCTTTGCAAGCTACTGAATGATTAATGTGTCTGAAGGCGAGTTTCTAAAACGAATATATTGTTACGTCTCCGTTTGTAATTAACTTTCCGTAACTTCGTTCCGACGAAACTTTAGCGACACAAGTCCTTACTTAATAAAACTGGTTTATTCTTTCTGAATATAACTTCACGATACACTTGATTTCAACATTCGCACTAATTGATCTGCAGTGAGAAAGTATTGTTGAAGTTAACGTTCGTTATAGCGTTTGTTTTAACTCACTACCTACACACATTGTTGTCACGTCACGTTGTGAGCGTCTTATATATATATATACCAGACAAACATATATCTAGTAAATGCTAGAGCACTCCCGAAGGAACGGGATAGTTCTAGAAAGCAGGTGGCGTGACAATAGTCACGTGATCTCGCTGACGCAACAGTATTAATATCATTTGGTCACACATATCTTTTATCATAATTTTTATGCTTTCTTATTAACTTGAATAGAATATATTTCATGCTTTTTATTAATTATTTGATTCATAGTTTTAAAGATTTCTACTTGCCCAAATAGACTTTCTTTGTTTTCATCGAATGTAATTCTATTTTAGCAACATATTTCTTTACACCTTTAGACTTCTTACAAATTTTATCATGTTGTAGTTTTAAAGCATAAATTTTAGATTTATGCCTAACTAATTCCTTCATAATTTTTCCAATATTCTCATGTTTCATTTTACCCAAAATGTTTTTGTTTGCTAACGGAATACAAGAAGAATTATGGTTTGGATAGTTTGAGGTATCAAATGAATTAATGTTTTCTTTTATATGTTCATAAAGATCAAGTATGTTTTTATCTTTTAGATGTAAGAATCAGTTTCTTGTTATAATAACTTTAAGTCATCACCATACTTTGGCTTTATGAATCCATACAGGAAATTTTACAACAATATTTTTGAAAGATCTAAAATGCTCATACCAACGTAAATTGGTTTATTAAATATTATTTTTTATATAAATATTTTGTTCTTCTCTTAAAGTTTGATTTAGCTATTAATTTTTTAACTTGCTTTGAATTAAAACACAATTTTATATAAATTCATTTTCTAAAATTAGCCAGTCTTTCCAAATACTGAATTATTGAACAATTTATAAAAGATATTTTTCAAAATCATTAATAGCTTTATTTCTCCTTTGTATATTTAGATCAATATATTTCTTAAGCCAATAAGATTGCTTGAACTCTAACACTCTGTGAATTTTCTTTATTTTCTTTACTAATGATAAATATCGTTTCAGATTTATATAGTGAAGTACGTATTTATTATTATCATATAAAGTTGTTATTGATTTTATTTCTTTAGTCACTATTCTGTTTTCTGGTGTAAGACCTTAATGATAGTCATGTAGTAGTTTTAGTTATTCTAAATCTGCTTCTGCAATATCACCTATTTCAGAATCACCACTTACTTTCATTACATCAATATTTGTATCACTCCATAGGATACATATTAACTCATTTTCCATCCGTAGAGGTTATTAGCATCTAGATAAGCTAAATAAATAGATTCTTTATTAAGATCATAATATTTCATGTATTTATATATGCTTTGCTATATCTATTAAAACACTGCGATATACCACCACGAATATATTATTACGACAGTGGGGGTCACGTGACAAGTATTCTAGAAGATTCGCTAGTGTGTTACGACAGCGGGAGTCAAGTGACGCTGGTAGCACGTGTTGAGAGTCTTAGAAGTTTCTAGAACAGGCAGTATTATCGTATATAAGTACGCTAGACAGTGAGAGAGACAGACAGAGGCAGAGACGTAGCGGAGACGAAGCAGGCAGAGAGAAAAAAAGACAGCGATTACGGTCGGCGGGAACTGAGGATAGCAGACACAGAGATCAGAACTATAGTTTGCGGGGACGGACAGTTAAGTCTAAGCGCGATAGAAAGTGAATGAATTGTTGTGAACTATAGTGTGTGTAACTGTGAAAATTAAATACATTACAAAGTTGTATTGAGGAAAAATAAACAAGTTTTATAAAGAAAAGAGTTGTATCTTAGAAGAGTTAACAAACAAACAAACAGAGACGTAACAAATTGGTGTCAGAAGTGGGATAAAAAAATGGAAACGAGAAGCGGCAAATCAAACTACAGCTTAGCAGATTTGATGGCAGCAATACAAGAACAGCAAAAGAAACAAAAAGAACGAGAAGAGAAATAAGAAGAGAAATTGCAGCAGTTTTTGGAGGAAAAAGAAAGGAAACAAGAAGAACGAGAAGAGAAATTACAGCAGTGGTTGGAGGAAAAAGAAAAGAAACAAGAAGAGAGATTACAGCAGTTGTTGGAGGAAAAAGAAAAGAAACAAGAAGAACGAGAAGAGAAATTACAGCAGTGGTTGGAGGAAAAAGAAAT